TAATTTGACTAACAATCAACAAACCGCTGAAACTCCACAGTGTGGTGGTTCAGCTAGATGAAGGCCTCTTCTGAAGTAGAGGACCAACCTTATTTATTTATTTAAGGACAAAACCTTATAACCAAAAATTAACTGCAGTAAATGCAGTTTTGAGGTAGGAATAAAGTGCCTTGGGAGTGCAGAGGAGAGATTAGTGTAGCTTTAGGGGCTCCAGTGAGGTGACACTAAACCACTGTTTGAAAGAATAGGACATGGGACAAGTAAAGGGGATGGAGGAAGAGACACTCAGTGGAGGGAGCACATGCATAGGAGGAGAATTCATATTAGGGATAAGAGTCCAGCAAACAGCTGGCTACATTTGGAACTGGGAAAGGAAAAAATCCCCTGACTTTGATCTTGGAGTGGCCTGCCTGACATCTAGGCCATGTTTCCACAAAAGTTCGGCATCACTCCAAATATTGTAGTGAGATAAAATCAAGAAGACTGTTTAGGTCATAAAAGTGACCAAACACCACTCACTGTATTACCATACATATATATATACTATACATACAGGGCTGGGGATGTGGCTCAAGCAGTAGCACGCTCGCCTGGCATGCGTGCGGCCCGGGTTCGATCCTCAGCACCACATACCAACAAAGATGTTATGTCCGCCGAGAACTAAAAAAAATAGATATTAAGAATTCTCTGTCTCTCTCTCTCTCTCTCCTCTCTCACTCTCTCTTTAAAAAAAAATACTATATATACATACATTTCCATACATATATATATATACACATACACATACACACACACACACTATAGTCTTACTCTGTTCCTCCTGTCTCCTATCTAAAAATTGAAGCTACTTCATCCTAGAATGCCCCTTCCTTTGACAATGCCCAAATCAAAGCCTTGAATTTGAACTGTACTCATCTGATACAAACTCATATTTTGTAACTAGGTCTTTTAACATCTTCTTACTGAAATGTTCCCGTGGTTTGTGCTCTCCTTCAAAGCAACAAATGCAACTTTGTTTGATGGCAAACCAGAGGGCATTGCCAGAGCTAAGAGTGTATGAGCGGGCTGGAGATGTGGCTCAAGCGGTAGCACGCTTGCCTGGCATGCGTGCGGCCCGGGTTCGATCCTCAGCACCACATACCAACAAAGATG